TATTATTTTAAAAGGGACGTAGTTTTAAAATAAAAGTTGATTGATGCTTTCAAATTATATTTTATAATTGCAACTTATTTTTAATAATTATTATCATTCTTAGCTATTGAATAATAATATTATGTATTGCAATTTATATAATACTGTATATTATATACTGTGCACTTGTGAATTATGCAAACTAAACTGTTTATACTGTAGCTGTTGTTAGGCATTTCATTGAGATAATTATATAAGCTAAATTATATTAAAAACAAATTATGGGAGACCCTGGATGATTTATCAACTATATAATTCTTTATTATAAAATGTTGCCGAACATAACAATGAAAAAACATTTCTACTGATTACCAAATATTCATATTATCGGCACAAATGTGGGAAGTTAGGTGTTGTTTGTGTTAATCTATTCTAAGAATTATATAAAAATCTACAAAAATATTGTTACTAAACCCAAATATGATATTTCATATTAGGGTTGCAATCGTATATTAATACCTTTTAGGAGACTAAACAGATATTTTCAACAGGTAACTTTGTTTAGTAGACAAATAACATATTATTTAATTAACTTATTTGTATTGTTTTTCATAAACAAATATTGAATTCCCGGAATTATTATTTTATGAAATTATATTTAGTCTATTAATGTGATAAAAATATTTATAGTGAATTTTTATTATTTAGTGATTATATAATGAAACTTTTATGCACTTTAAAAATGTATTTTGCTATGGAAATACTTAATCTACTATTTACAGTATATTCTACTTATTAATATCAATTGATTTAAATTAGTGCAAATATAAATTGATTAAATTAATAAACATTTTTGCATATCATACCCATTAAATATTTATTTAATTTATTTTGCTGATTTATTTCGCAATTTAGCAAATATTAATAAAATATTTAGGTTTTTGAGATTAAATTGAAACTTTTAAAGTATGCAAGGCAAAGTTCTTTATTATACAAAAGTATTTTATCTAGTTTAATAACTGTTCACGAAAATGTACTTAAATTCTTATATTATTAACCTTGAACAAATTATTTGGAATTTTGAATATAAAAGCATTTATTTTTATTAAATAAAGAATTGTAATCGTAATAAATATTTACAATTACAACTACTTATTATATACAAATAAGCCCTAAATAGCTTGTTACAAATAGTTTATTATGACTGATCATTATATATATATTTTTTTATATAAAACGCCTTTTTATTATGAACACCTTCATTTAAAAATTACTTATATTAGTAAATAATTTGCATAATAATCAAACTTAAATTATGCTTAGTTTTACATAAATTTACTGTATTTTTATACAATTAAACTCGAGTTTAGCATATAATAAATAATTTATCAATTGGCTAGGTATAAGAAATAAAGCTGTATCAGACATAAACTGTTATCAGTAATTATTATAAGCCTTTTCATAACGACCCCAAACTATTTGATCACCCCTTCAACGCCCCATACATTGAGCGCATGTAATATTTATATGATATCATAATAAATGTCTACGTATTTGGAAAGTATAAATAGAGATATAATATATATATTAATTTTTGGTATTTATCATTTATGCGTATTTAGGTATTTATGCGACACCTAGATTAATGCAAAATTATGAGCCTGCTAATCTACTTGTGCGAACGTTGTATAGTTATACGATTTATTTGCTAAGGGATTTTGGAAATACATGAGAATTTCTAAAATAATAAATTTTTGGGTAAAATTTTGCATAAATTATGTCTGGATTTAAATCAGATATAAATTTGATTCTTATATGCGATAAGCTTGGCTATTTTGATATAGTGCACACAATTGTCCGTGCTCAAAATGTTGAAATTTACACGTCCAAGTATAATGGACCGTATAATAGTGGAGAACTGTACCGGATCAAGAAAACTGCATTTATTGGTAAAGTATTAATTAAAACATTTGAGAGAGAAGGAGAGAGAGAGAGAGAGAGAGAGAGAGACAGGTATTAATTATTGTCTTAATTTATGAACAGATCCGTTGAAACTGGAGGATGGCCTCCAAGAGGTGGAAGTCCTACGGAGAGTAAACTCCGAGTTTGTGGTCAAACTGTTGGACAACTGGACTGAATGCGAGAATACAATGTATTTTCAATACGAGTACTACGAACAGACACTCCAAGAGATACTAGAGCTCAAGGCCCAGACTTTCAGGCACTCGAGCACAGGGACCTCTATAAGTCCACTTGAATTCTGCATTTCCAGTGCCTTGTTTACTGACCTACTCGAGGCGCTAGACTACCTGGATCACACACGCATTGTGCATAGACGTATTATGCCAGAAAACATCTACTTGTGCTTAAATAAGCCGGGCCTTAAAATTGGTAATTTTGATTCTGCCGTATGTCTCGAGTCAGTGGTAGCACCGGTTAACCGACCAGAAAATCCGAGGTCTAATGATTCAAATAATAAAATACCGGTAAATGTTGGTAAATATGTAGCACCAGAAGTGATAAGAAATCTGGTTTGTGATACCAGTGCCGACATCTACAGCGCCGGTGAGATAGCCATGGTTATGTTTCATTTTGATTTGGATGAAGATACCAAGTATGTTTAATTAACTATTCATTAAAATAAATAAAAATCAAAATAGAATTTAGCAGTACTAAAAATGTTACATTTACAAATTTATTAATACATGGTTATGATATTTATCTTATTAAATTAGTTTTTTAGTTGTTTTGTAAATATTAGATATACCTTAGTTATAATAGTTATTTTGTTTATATGAATTTATATGAATACTATATAAAAATTTTTAAAAATAATATAACACTCTCTGTACCACACAACCAGTATAATTTCCAGAATTTACCTTATTTAAGAAAATTATGTAATCACTATTTGTTTACTGTTTATATAGGAATAAGGTGTCATTTACAGACGATTCAATTCCCCGCAATTTTATCGTCTATTTATACAAAACTTTGCTAAAAATGCAATCAAACGATCCCAAAGTAAGGCCCACCGCTGGACAGATACTTCAGAACAGGAACCACTTCCTGGTCGACAATTATCTTAATATAAACAGCTTTCATATTAAGATGTTCATAATGGAGCACCCGCAGTTTTTTGAGCACAAATTTGTTAGCCCCTACCTGAATTTAAAATTACCACAGTAAACATTGCATTAACGCTGGCTAATTTAAGTTGGTTTTAATAAAATTGTTTTTTGAAAGTTGGAACAAGTAATTATTAATTTATTTTTTAAATAATAAGTTTTATCATCTACTAATCTGTTTAAGTCAGCATTTTTAGGCAGTTATTAAATAGATATTTTTATTGTGCCTGATAAAATTAATTTTCTTGTTTATTTGTTTTAGTACTATATATCGTAAATTAGATCCGGGAGCATTGAAAGTCACTTCAGTACATTAATCCGATATCTTTTTAGATGTAGAGTTTTACGGTATATAAATCCTACACACCATGAGTGGACTGGCTGAACAACAAATGGCACCCACATATGATAATACAGTAGAAAACCTTAGTTACCTTAATCTAAAGCGGGTTACTTTCTAATAGTTACTTATGCATTATATTATTTTACAATTATTTATAACTATAAACCTATTATTCTTAATACATATTGCTTAAATAGTGCTATAAGGCTTATAGTATAAGCAGTATTAGTTAGGTATCATCAACAAAGTACGTACGCTGAGGAGAGTCATGAGTCATGACAAAGTGTATGTCCCCATGTTACATTTCTATGTACTGTACGATGGGCATGTAAAGGGAGGGGGTCTATTTTTATTCTAAATTTTGTGTTCGTACTTTGTGCCTTATACATATTCACCAGTATGAAGCAAATTTGGTAATTTATTAAAATGTACCAGTATATAAGGTAGTACTGTATAACTTCAAGTGCAAGTGCAACTGTAACTGCCATAAAAAATCTCGTACGTACATTAAAATAATTTGTTTAATTAGACAAAAAATATGATAATAGTAAAAAATATTTAGATGTAGTCTACATTCATTTCAAGAAACGTTTGTTTTTAGTGAGAAATTTATCAAATAAAGTACATGAGATCGGCACGAGTACTGTATAAAAATGTCAATGTATGCCATAAAAACAAAATATTATAATATAATATAACCATTCTTCCGACATGTAATATTATCTAATCAACAAATTATTTCATTTAAAAAATATTACCATTTCATGTGAAAACTGATTTCATCAGGGAACACTTTTTGTTTGCAATACTTATTACATAATTTTTGGTAATTAACAAATTATATGTTTACGAAAACATCAGATTAAATAAATATAATACACAAAATATGTGTAATATAAAACAATTATTTTATCAACTTTCTTGATTTTTAAATTAAACTAGAAAAATATATTATTTTAAAAATAAATAAAACTTACATATTGCAGCCATTTATTATTTCTGTAAACATTTTATAATCAATACCTGTATATAAGTCGCCAAAGAGTTGTTATTTAAC